AATTTTCAAAATGACGCCACTAAGGATAAACAAATGACTGCCACATGAAACAAATTGTATTCTTCAGCCAAAGAGTTCCATTTTTAAATTTTATAATTACTTTTTAATGTTGTTCTGAAACTGGCCAGTGCCGAATACATAAATAGCAGCCCTCGTAAGGAGTGGCCTATGATAATAAGGATGATGATGATATTTATTAGTGTTTAAGTCAACAACTCATTGTTAGATAAGGCCTAAATACGTATATATTAGACTTAACTAAAAACTAAGCTAAGTAATTGTCAAACACGAAAACAAATTATACTACGGCATAAAATCTGTATTGTAACTGTTTATTACAAAATTAGCTTATTAACATTCCTCCTAACTTGGATATAATTTGCTAATTAGTTTACCGTCCCATAAGGGTGATGACTTGGACAACGGTTTTAATTCACACGTACGGAAGAAAATTAAAACCATTCGCTCTATTTTAACCCGAAAACCTGCCTTCAATTTGTAATATTAACGTTTTGGGCAGGTTCAGTGGCCAAGCATTTATTTATTTAAACTTTATACACATAAAGTTCAAAGTCGGACTTAATGTAGAATATTATTATTTATTCCAAGGTACTAGAAATTAATAGTGGCTTTTTAATGAATATCAATAAATAAATCAAATAATAATAATTTATTTTATTGCATCAGTTTCAGTTCAATCTGTCTAGCAAAGAATTACGTCTAAAATAAGAGCTAACATTAGCTCTTATTTTAGACGTAATTCTTTATACATAATATAGATAAGTTGTAGATGTGTAAGGTTTTTACAAAAATCTAATCGTGTATCGTCATGATGTAATAGCCTGCAAAATAGGAAGTAGTCACACAGGGCGGTCTGTTTCCAAAATAGAGAGAGCCCGCATTATGGTAACCAGAATGCTGATGAACATACATTTATGTTTCTAATACAGTATTATAGATAAATTACACCCAGACAAATGAACATGCTCATCAATCAATTATGTCTTGTGTGTTTCGAACCCACTACCTTTTTTTTAACAGTCAGGATCACTAACCACTAGACCAACAGACTAGTATTGAAATTAATTAACTTTATGACTCTTTTCCACTTTTGGATCTGTCGACAATCAAATACAAAACCTAAGCAAATTCATTCAACCATTAAAGCATCAGCAGAATCCAACTAATACCGTCATAGCCTTAGTTTCAAAATATTCATGAGGAATTTCGTTTCGAATGGCTAACAAATATCACATTGATGGAATTCTTCATCATTTTCAATTCCATTGACCTAAATATTGTTGCTTAAACAAAATCACCTCGACCTCGTAGTGGCTCGCGGTCTAATTAGCTGATAATTTAGTAACAAACACCAGCTCATATGTTGGCGGGAGTAATGTAAACTTAATTACATATAAAGCAAGTTGAAAGGTGACAGTCGAGTTGCTAAAGAAGAAGGCAACGTACATAAGGCAAGGCGAGGCAAAGCTTACACTGCCACTTGTCTACGGCGAGTCGTTGTGGCGACGGTTAGTTAGTAGTGCCATTAGAGGCAAACCCGCGCATCTCGCTCCCTATCTCACCGCCTCGTGCACCATTAATGCTCGTTTGTGTCAGAACGACTTAATATAAAGTCATTAAGTCGTTTTGACCCTGTTAGCTTTAATCCTAAACAAAACCTTTTCTATAAATATAAGTTAACTGTATACCTAAAAATGTAACTACGATTCGTTTCATCGAGTTCCGCTTTAAAACTTAGATACAACGACTAGGTTAAATTGAGTGTAAAAGAAAGATTAGGTGTTTTATTCTCTCGTACAGCAAACGAAACGTTTTTGTTTTATAAATAAAGTGGGGTGCGATAATGTTGTGAGCATTTCCTTCCCTTTGCTTGAGGGGCCTAATACTGAACAATGTATTTACATTATTGGATAATCTATCCTACATGTGAATAGTTGTTAGTTTTCGAGTTTGATTGCTACATTGGGTCGTCCGTCGTGTGACGTGAGTTTCGGTGCCGTTTATTACTCCCGACCCTCATAAAATAACACTTTATAGTGCGCACAAGAGAGTAAACCACTTTTTAATAGAGCGTTAATGGTTACTTACTGTACTCTACTGACAAAAGTTCTGCCCTCAGTATTCAATTCAGTTTGATTATCATAACACGGGGTCTAGACAGGTTGTATATTGTAATTTTCTTTTATGAGGAAAAACCGGGAAGAGGTTCACAATAAAACTTCGTGGACATAAGTAAATTTTATATTGACCAATTTAAAGCCCCGCAATAAAAGTTTTCTAACGACGGTACTTCGCTACGTAATGTGTGTCCTTACTGGACTTTGTGTCTTATGAAACTGGTTTTTAAGTGCAATTGTACATGGCAACCAAATGCTTAAGTTAAAACGTCACTAGTTTTCATTAGTACCTACTGAACATAAAAAGAGTCTTGCCCAAGAGCATTGCCGACTTGTCCCCAATTTAGGTAGACCATCAGTGGGTAATTACTTCTATATTTATTTACAACTACTTGTACGAAAACGCTCTTGCCATTCATGTTGCTCATTAGCATCACTTACATTTGCAGTACTTGACCTAATAGTCCGGTTAAGTTCAAAAACAGTGGAAAATTAAAATAATTATCAAAAAATTAAGATTTTTTTTTTATTATTTAAATATATATATAAATAATATTAAGATAAAATAATATTGATTAATTTAATAATAATAATTAATTAATATTAAAAATATATATTTATATATATATATATAAAATAAATATGTTTAAATTTATCATAATTTATACACCATTGCCATAATTTGTAAAATAATAATTTGACAAAAATTGTTGAAGAAGTACTTAGTTAATTTAATACAATGTTATTTCACTTAACATCTCAATAGATCATTTAATATGCTTTCAGTCTATCAATCCCTCTATAAATTTCAGCTCTGTTATTATTAATTACCGCGAATTATTATGACCTTGACCGAAATATAAAAAGAGCTTAGTGATATAAACAAAAATGAAAACCTTCTATTAGAATTTGGGCCCGCTGAAAATAAAGCTAAGTTTAATGTAATTAACGTTGTCAAGTACACCGGCAGAAGCACTATTATATCCTTAAAAGATTGTTAATACGCTTACCTAATTACCTTAAACTTACCTACCAGCATAACTATTGCTGAATTGCTCAAAGATGTGATTTTGATTTTTTTTCCATTGCCTTGAAAAGGTTAGAGCAGGCTTTTTTCGACTACCGCTTTTATCGGGTCAAAGGGCGTATACAGTAACATTGTTATTCGTACTCCTTAAACGGAATTAGCCCTCGTCGCATTCGGTTCACGAACAAAATAGGCCATTTCACATGTCCTTTTTAAACGGAACGCTCTCTCGTTTTAATGTTAGGATACTAATTGAGGTAATTAGAAACAAATTAGCAAAGGTATTGTGATGCAGTGCCTGCCTCTGTCGTTTTGCCCTCTTACAATTATGGGCTCACAACCACGGTTACTTAAGCATATTTTAAAATGACTATAAAATTAAAAAAATTTTAGTAAGAAGTTATAAAATGTTGCTAACGAGTATCAGTACGAGGGATCAGTACATGAATGTGGTTTGCTAGACACCATTCGCTCTAGACTCACTATGAAGCATTCCTGGTGGGTCTTCTCTGCATGTTACTCTTCTCTCTATTTCTATTAGTTTTTTATGTTCAACGTTATGTTGTCCCGTATTGAAATTGTTCGTGAGTTGTCAGATTTTGCCAATATCACTAAAATGGGTGCTTTTGATTGAAAATTGAAAAGTACCCTAAAAGCGAATGTTTAGACAGTCCAATTTTCAATATTGCCAATCAACTTCGGTGCCCTGTTCACTGTTTGACAAGGGGTTTTTTATTGAGGCCTATTTAAATTGTACGGTTTTCTGATACTGGGATCAAATGGGCATTGCTTTTATTATTAGATGAAATCTGTTTCGTATGATTTTTGTATCTACGGGTATATTAAAATATTGTTTAGAGTGTTTAGCCGAATAGTTTACTTTATCGGAATAACATTAATTAACGGTGAGAATTTAACTGGACGGCGAACTTATCTACAAGCATCCTATCATAACAGAAATTGGATTTAGACCAAATCTCTAAGTATCGTAATATCTATGTTTAGAATGTCTTCAGGTAGCACAGGGTGCCGTTTTGCTTTAATATCACAACAAAGGTTCGGTAGAATTGAAGCAAAACTAATACAGTACAATCGTCTTTGTTTTGCTTTATTTCCTAAATACATGTTAATGTGTGTGATTGTCTTGATCATTATTTTATGATGCAAAAGTACACGTTCTAATAAAATTACAATACCCTAATGAAAACGGGGTAGCGGGTTTGATTCGCGCTCAGTACAAATATGTGTCATAATATTAATTAATGTGTTTTTGCATTGGTTCAGATGTTTCCTTGTATAACATACAAGTAGTAAGCAGATATTTACGAAAAAAATCTATATAAGTCTGCGTTCTAGATTTCATAATACTGATTTACTTAGTTTGGGTCTAGTTAGCGATATACGTCTCACGATATTATTATATATATTATATTTCTCTAGGCTTTGCGTATTTGTCAGTAGCTTACATGATTGGTTGTGGCTTTTACTGACACCTCTATTATAGGTCGTTAAGGAAAAGGAATGGACAAAAGTTATGAACTGGAATCACGTTTAATGTGTATCTAATATCCATTACTCATTCACTATTCCTGTCAAGCGTAATCTTACATGACATGTAGTCAGGTCAGTCATGCGAGTCGATATAATCGTATATCATACAAAACACACTAAATATTAAAACATGAGTTTAAAATTTATAAAATTCATATCGGCCCTTGGTGGAACTTGTTGAAATACATTATGAATACATTTCATACATTACAATACATTTCAACGGAGTTTGATTTCATAATGAGTTTAAAATGATAAAATAAATGTTTTTCATTTTGTTTTAGGTACAAGGTGGAAGTAGCGGGCAAGAGTCTGCCTGTACTTACCACTTTGGACAAGGGGCGATACGGCGTTATCGTGTTCGAATCGCTTTCTAAATACGCAAATATGGACAAATGGAATCGAGAACTTTTGGATAAATATTGCCGGGAGTATTCTGTTGGAGTGGTCGCCTTTGCAACTCCGGGAGAAGAAACTCTAGTTGGGGCCCAGCTAAAAGGATTTCCTTTGTTTATGCATACGAATTTAAGGTTAAAGGTAAGTATTGCATAATTTAGTTATTTTGAAGTAGGTAACTAACTGATGGTAATGGTATACCAATCATTGTTGACAGTTTTTCGATAACGACTTCCGATCCTCAGCGATACAAGCAATATCATTATCGCTGTCATTTCTTAAGAAGTCGGTGAAGACTGTTTTCCTATCCTTGATCAGATCATACTTTGGCATGGCATAGGCTCTGAGTAGTTTATTATACATTTGTTGTTCCATCCACATAGGCACATTCCAAAGTCACTCAAACACACAGTCCTTCTGTTACTTCTGTTAATAAAAATTTGAACCATTGATTTTCACTTACCGTTGTTTCATATCTGATCTAGTTCTTCACATTAATATAGTTCTATCAGAGTCCTCGTACTCTTCGTTATCTACTGAAGATATGCATTTATCTATAATTAAGATATCCTCAAGCCTGATATTCGGTTATAGTCACAAAATTAATCAATGCTAATGATCGACTGGATCGCAATGATTTACTTAAAAACCAATACGATTTGATTAGTTATTTTTGTATACTTTGATCAACATATTATACATATTATAATAATACGCCAGTAACTTCTTGTCACCGTTTTCGTTTGTAATTTTTGCAATTTAAACATAGGTTATATTCATTCAAATTTATATTCATATATTCATTAAAAAAAAAAAAAACTACAATTCTTCTACATACATAAATATATATTTTTCTTCGCGAAAAAATAGGTTTTGGCTTTATAATCCAGTACTCGTATTACAACTTCAATGTTGAATGATTTCCCTTAATATAATATCAATATGTGGGTACTTGTATCATATTGTGTTTAGAATCATAAGAGATTTTCCCGTCTGATTATACGAGTATAGGACATTATAAACCAAAAAGTAACTTTAGAAATAATGTGCAGTCATGAATTTAATTGCACATGCACAGACATGATTTATTACAAATCAATCATAAAAGCTTCAGTGTCATTTGCTTTATTGATACCCGGAACATCGTGTATCATGTGACTGTAATAAGTACGAGTACTTAAGAATAATAAAGAAACAGAGTGCAAAATACCTTATCAAATTTTAATGATGTTTTAATTAGGCATGTTTTAAATTATTAAGTAAAAGTTTCTATAGAGTATTATTAGGGCTCTCTTGGTTTTTAAATTTACACAATAATTTCGACAAGGAACGACATAAATCACATACGAGTACAGTGGTGCCATAAATTAAACCGCACACCCAATCATTTCATAAACATTTATCTGTTATACATAATGGTGTATCTTTTTTTTTTTTTTTTTTTTTTTTTTTTTTTTTTTTTTTTTTTTTTTTTAAAGACAACTCCCGCATTAGGAATAAATCCTGTGTCGCGGGGGACTTTACAAACATACATGAAACGGACACAAAGAACACCCAGACTCAGAACAACAATTTGTGGATCACACAAAGTGTCGTCCCATGTGGGGTTTGAACCCACAACACTCGGCGTAGTAGGAAGCGGCGTGGCGACCGCTTAAACCACTACGCCATCCGTGCAGTCATCTATGTCTATATAATCTATAATTATACAGGACGCAACACTTAACTCTGCGTCACCCGTGTTACGACTGGCACGAGCGGGCGAAACAGCATGGGGACAGCTTCCTGGAGACCACTGGGCCGTGTTTAGAGCAAACAGCTCCACTTATGAACCAGTCGCTTGGGCGCTCAGGCAGAATGAATATGGAACAGAAGGTACGATATATCTCGAAAACGTTCATCTTTAATTATGAATTCGATGAATTTTCGTAAATGTAATTTTATTAAATTATTTTTTGTAATGTATTTTCTCATCAAAAACATAATATGTACAAAAATGCAAGTCTCGTTAAGCAGTTTTCCACCGCAAGTAGCGATGAGGTCTTAATGATACCTGATTAACAAATTAACAATATTTTATTGTGATCTTATTAATATTAGACAAGACAAGTGCTTATCATCGTGATCGTATCACACAGATACGATCACGATGATAAGCATCGTAAAGGCAACGTATTCCGTGAAAATAAGGAATTTTGACAATGGCAATAATAGTTATCAAACGTTAAAGCTACGATGCTAAAAAACCTGTAGCAAATGTTTTTAGTGATTATTCACAGACATATATAAAACAAACTGTAGTTACCTTCGCGCAGCGAACACAGGTGATAAAAGTCGGTAGTAAATAACCTAAATATGAAAGTAAAATCGAATTGAATTGAATTAAAAATGCATGTTTTTATACGTAAACGGGGAAACCATCTGCTTAGTACGTAAACTTTTGTTGAGTTCAGTGAGAGAATTATGTTAAATAACAATGACGGGCCTGTTGGTCTAGAGGTTAGTGACCCTGACTGCTAAACCGGAGGTCGTGGGTTCGATTCCCACCCAGAACAAATACTTGTGTGATGAGCACGATCGTTTTTTCTGTGTCTGGGTATAATTTACCTATAATATGTATGTATTTAGAAATATATAAGTATGTTTATCAGCAGTCTGGTTACCACAGCACAGGCTCTGCCTAGTTTAGGATCAGACAGCCCTGTGTTCAGATGTGTGAGGTTATTATTATTATTAAATAACAATGAACCACTTCTCCTACTACTATTTTTTATTCGTATTTCTGAGTATTATTATTTGACAACAGACAGACACAATTTATACGAGTCGTAAATATAAGGTTTTAATATCTCGTAGAAATATGGCCACGCAGTATCTTTTGTTTGAATCACTTAGAAGATCGCGTGACGTCATGGTATGTTGATAAAACAGCATTGTCATACTGATTGTAATGTGTTAATTAATGAAATGATGACTGAAATGTTTCAGCTGTTCTTTACTTATAGACATATTATGTGAAAGATTTATCGTCAAGAAATTCTCTTAACAGTTCCATAACGTAGACAAGTACTATCATCATACAAAAAATTGTGGCTAAACAGTTAAACCAGCAAGTTGTATTTCTGATAAAATTCAAGTCAGAGATCCTTGCAGAGGGCTGCAATACCCAAGTGACTCGACTAATGTTTCAGTGGCCTCTAAGGTCTGATTATATAAGTGCAAAAAATAATTGTTATTCTGGATCTAAGTGGAGCATATACAACCAAATAAATATTTGTATTAAATGTATTATTCATCCAACAAAATATTATGTAGTAGGTACAATAATATTTCCTCTGACATTAAATAAAATTCCGTTTATCCTCTCGAAGAAAGAGAACTGAACATATTTGACCTAAATCATACTCATGTTACTAGTTACGAATAACTTCAATTAATAATAATCACGCACGTCATCACATCTTAATTAATAGAAGGAATTCCATAATGCTAACATGAATTTGACCGACCTTTTGCTTGATATTAATATCGTACTCCTTGAAAGGCTTTTCCTGGAATATTAGATACTGTTGTGGGTATTGTACGAGTTCGGACTTTAATTCAGTTAGAAATGCTATTGCTTCACTCCAATTCGCGGAAAATACTAAAATGCTGTATCGCATGCTTCTAGCGCTATATTGAATAAAATTAAAGAATGATTTAATTGTAATATTTTTTGGTATGTTGTCGCCCAAACGAGCACCCCAACCGTCATACAAAATCTAAATTTTGAAAATCGCGTTTAAATACCTTTTGCATAAACGATTACGCTAAAAATAACTTTGAAAGCACTACAACAATGGTCGTTTTATTAATACACCAGCTTTTGCTCGCAGCTCCGCCTGCGTGTATGTTACTATCAGCTTCTTTTTTCGCTAATGATGTAGTTTTTCATTGGTGAAAGAATTTTTAAAAACAGTTTAGTAGTTTAGGCGTGGCGTAACAAACAAACTCACTTTCACATTTAAAATATAAGTAGGTATGGATGGAAGTATGGATAAGCTTAAAATAAAGCTCCATTATCTTTAATCTTTAAAGAAATTCAGTCGGGAAGTAAACAACAATGATTTAATGAATTAGGAAATCTGTTTAAATTAAACTTAAGCCTAAAAGTGCTCACAGTTGACGAACAGATATAGATGAGTTTAAAAGATTTTTTTCTTACTTGTGTGGACATCTAGAACTAATTATTCTATGGGGGGGGGGGGGGGGGGCAGGCCCTTTGGTTAAAGGCGGCAACTTGTGAGTCTTTACGTTACGAGTTCTATGGGGTAGACATGGGGCAAAATCACAAGTAGTTACTTACCATCAGGTAATCCGCCTGCTTGTTTGTCCCATATACCATGAAAAGAATTCATCCGTGCGTGCTGCGTGTCGTTGCTATTAGCTCAAAGTCAAGTGGTCAATTTGTCAACGACCTCTTTAGAGCGGAGGTTATACGTACGTTGATGGTCAAGGGTTTTATTTCCACGCAGTCAAAATATTTGTATGCATTAACAGGTCTATTTGCATAAGTCTGTTTTTTTTTGCCTGGGTGTATGTATTGTACATAAAAAAATGTGTCGAAATATGTTTATCTATGTCATAGTACTAATGTCAAAAGCTGTATTCAATTGGGTCTGAAAATTATATAGAATACAGACATTAGCATTAGATTTGTTTACCAATAAAATTTACGAGTACTTTTAAAAATTTGTTAATTTATTTGTAACTCAATCATAGAAAAACCGCTAAACGGAATTAGATGAAATATCGCCTCGAACATAATATATAAGAATTCTAATCTAATTTCTGTTATTAATACTCAATACTTTATTGGTTCCATAATGTAAATAGTACTTTAGTAAAGTAAAGTAGTACAGTTGGTAAAACTTAAGCCAAGTATCAATTACGAGCCCTGTCGCGCACAGAATAGAAGAGAGAGTGAGCGAAATTATTTTGTTATATTTATAAACGTATTCATCATCATCATCATCAACAGCCTATACTAGTCCACTGCTGGACATAGGCCTCTCCTTAATATAAACGTATTATTTATATTAATTCTGCATATGAAATCATTTTTTTTATTATATTTAAAAGTGTTATATATTTATACACTTTCATGACATAGGTAGATCAATTAATAGTTAACAGGCCATAGTATAATATTTAAAAACCATGACGTTTGTTTCTTAAACAATGCACTTTCGACAAAAGAATATTTACAAACCACTACATTGTTTCGATGATTCAATTAATTAATCTCGATCCTCAATCCAATAGAACCCTATCCTAAATAATGGCGTTGTTTGCAGAAGAGCGTTTGCCGCTAGCTACGGTGGTACAAGACCACGGGCGTTTGGACGGCGTCCAACGCGTGCTGTTCGGCTCAGGCCTACAATTCTGGTTGCACAGAATATTATTCCTAGACGCACTCAGCTACCTCAGCCATGGCCAGCTCAGCTTGAGCCTCGACAGGTGGATACTCGTCGATATTGATGATATCTTCGTAGGAGAAAGAGGTATGATATACTTTATTAATATTTTTTATAATTAGGGTTTGTACAAAAAACTAGCAATGCTAAGTATAAAAACATTTTATCATCTTTAGGAAGTAAGGTAATACCATGATATACCGCTGTTTTGTTAACATTCTCACCACTGTACGTGTGTTTTCTTTTAGTATTAGTGGCGTTGGGCCATAGTCCAACAATCCGGCAGACTTCACATACGTTCAGAACAATTATGGCTAACTCTCAGTAATTTAGGTTTCCTCATAATCTTTACCAAAATTCTTTAAAGTAAACATTAAATCCCTATCCTTATGGTAAAGGTTTAGAATACGGAGTGTCACCATCCCTATTCATCCTATGGGTGTCGTGGGTGTAGAGCTGACTAAGGAAGTTAACTACGCAGAAAAACAACACTGTAAAAAGAAGGAAAACTTGAAACAAACCCTATACCAACCCGTCTGGGCAGCGAGGTATAGTAGGCCAAAACCTCCTTTTTAAGGAGAGGCCTATGTCCAGCAGTGGACTATTAAAACTGTTGATGTGATGTGTGCTGAAACATTAATTAATATACTTCTTTTTTTTAGTAAAAATATTAAAACAACGTACTACTATGTTGTTTAACTACAACTGACTGGGACACAGTTTGCACTACTATAATGTAGATACTAATATTTAGAAGCCCTCTTATTTATAATAGAGTTTGAGACAAAGGGTTTGTTTTATTCAAATAATAATTGAGAACCAAATTCCAACATCGTGTTGCACAAACAGTACTCTAAAATCTACTTGATATTGTGAATTTTGAGGAGGACTTCGAAAAAGAACATGAGTGAAGTGTGAAAGGGTTTCCACCTGAATTTATATACAATACATACCTGCATACAATTTTCCGCTTTCTCAGAGAGCTAACATTGTTTGGATACATGTCAAATAAAACTTCAAACATGTAGCGCTGCCTAACAAAACCGAAGGCTTTGAATGAAGGGATAAATGAAAGAAACACGCTTTTAAATGGGTAGTGAATACATAAAAAAATGAAATAATATTTTACGCTTTAAGCGCCGATTAATATTTTGATTTTTTATTTCAAAGTATGTATGTGTACTAACTTTACATGTTATATATTGTTTTATACGTAGACTACACGAATGAACATCGTTACTAGAATGTTTTCCCACTTCATTATTATTTTTAAATATAATAGAACAAATAAAATATAATTCAGACGAACAAATCCGTATTGTACTGGCACACACATTACAAAGCTTAACCCAGTCACCAAAATTATAAACCTAAGCAATTAAAATAAAAACATCCAGTTTTTACAAAGTTTTTCACATTAAAATATGCGGTCCAATTGATTCGGCTTCCATTTTATCCAATCACGCGCCTTTCGGTGCTACACAGTCGTATTGAATACATATCGGCGATTTACCCATATTCATTTCTCAGTAATATAAGAGAGAAACGTGTGGTATGTTAGCCGATGAGTGTTACATGCACAGGTTTATTTTTTATGTAAGATTTTTATGTTTCTGTTGTATTTATGTAGCTTTTGTATGATTAATACTGTAAACATATTCATACGTTATACAATACGATACCTACGAATAATGTGAAAAGTGTTTATTAGGCAGAGCGAGGATTCACACGTCTAGTGAGAATTTTTATTTATGTTATAAATTTTATCTTAATTGGCCCACACAAAATCAAAATCAGAGATGTGAGGAATAAAAACTATGAAATAAGTGTTATAAGTATTCTTCAGTGTTGTATCTATTACAAAGTTCCACTCACAGTTCTTTCCCCCACTTGTGTTGCAATAAATCAATTCTTTAAATTTATTTAAAATTAAACGTTCAATGACTGCGGAATGAGAAGTAAACAGTAGATATTTAAAACTTATCATTTTGTCCACATTGGATTTAACTGCTTAAACCATCCAAGATTTTGACAACCATCCATCTTCTAGGTGTGCTGGGTATTTCCTAAGATAAATTTAATCATCATCTCATCAACAGCCTATACTAGTCCACTGCTGGACATAGGCCTCTCCTTAGAAAGGAGGTTTTGGCCTACTATACCACGCTGGCCAGACGGGTTGGTTGATACATTTAATGTATGTCATGAAAAAGTGTAACACAATATTGAGCAGTGTTGCGAGTCGCAACAGAATATTGAATTGTGTTACGAAATAGTCTTGCAAAACAGTATTAGCCTATTATACAAGGGCTGCTATTTATGTATCCGGAACTAGCCAGATACAGAACAATATTAAAAAAGTAACTATAACATTTAAAACTCTTTGGCTGAAGAATACAATTGGTTTCATGTAGCTGTCTGCTATGATTTATTACGATTTTTGGGGAGGGCTAACTCAAAAACAGTGTATAGATATGTCACTCTCACACTCACTTTGACTTATGGTGACGAAGCACCATAAAAAAACGACTGTGATCACTTCTTTAGTGAGTTTAATCGAGGGCGGTCTGTGCTCACGGACGAATTTAAAGGTCTCCCTAAATCGGTTGGTGTGCCTCAAAATATTGATGTTGTGCCGAAACTAATGCAAGATCATTATGTTACAAAATCGCGAGATAGAGGCATCTCAGGGAATGAGTATGACGAGTATATATAAAATATTACACGAACATTTGGCTGTAAAAATATTTGTTCACGTTGAATTCCGTACAACTTGAGAATTGTCCAAAATAGGCTTGTGTCGATTGTTGTAAAAAAAATGATTCAAAAGTACAATCAGGGCGCGACAAAAGCTGTCTATAATATGCGTATGATCCTGAAACTAAACAAAAATCAACGGTTTGGGTGTTCCAAGATGAGCTGAAGCCAACAAAAGTCATTCGTTCAAAAAGCACTCTGAAACAAATAGTCGCTGGTTTTTTTCTTATAAATGGACAATTGAAAAAATCATAAAGAATAAACGAATCCTTTTTCATTATGACAATGCTAGTCGCCTCACATCGGATGAAACAACTCAGTATTTGTAAGATCCAAAGATCGAATTAACGGGTCATCCGCCGTACAGTCCTGACTTGGCCCCCGACGACTTCTATTTATTCCCAGCCGTGAAGAATAAATTACGTGGTCAACGTTTTCCGAGCCGTGAAGAGCCTGTTGATGCGTTCAAAATGCACGTTTTGGAGATACCAGAATCAGCATGGGAAAAATTGCTACGAAAATTGGTTTCAAGGTATGCAAAAGTGCATCGATCATCACATCGAATATTTTGAAAAGCAATAAAACTATAAAGTTTGTTTCACTTTGTTATTCCGGATACATAAATAGCAGCTCTCGTACGTTGGAGGAATATTATATTTATTAAATCTAACGCTGGCTTCTTTTTATACGTTATTTATTTGGCGGATGTGGTGAAAGGTAAATAAATAGTAAAGGTAATGGGGAAAGTATATTTATAGGTATTTTGATCTGTTAATTGAGCTCTCAGTAATAAAAAGAAAAAAAGTTAATAAAACATTTCTTCAAAGGTTTTAGTTTTTAAGGCGTTCACAAAAAAAAAACTAAACTTTATTAAAAAAATATTAAAACATATTTTCTTCTGTTTGCATCTGAGATTTTACCATAGAGCCATAAGTGTGTTTTTAAATTGATTGAAAGTCTTTAAAATCATGAAATGAAGAGTTTTAAGCAAGAAGAAACGAAACATAATATATACATAATTTTTAAAAACTATTAGTATCATAAGTATATTGTACCAGTACAACATTTAACAGCCACTTGTATCGAATGCAGCTCAATCAACCTAACATTGTATGCTTTTGTCCCACCCATTTGTATGCAAGGAAGATCGGAATAACATTAGCACCTAGCTGTATGGAATTATAATACATTCACATTTGTTAGCATGAAACTGATATTTGTATGCGTCGATATCGGACGCATTTTTAAACGAATATTGTCTGCTAAACAAATCGTAACACTCGTGTACAAGTGCGTTGAACGTGATAACCTTGAACTGTTCGTATATATATTTCTCGTGTAAAAAATAAACGTGGAAGAGTCGTCATCGTCACCAACAGCCTTGAGTAGCTGGACATAGGCTTCTCCATAGAAAGGGTTAGCATAGAAAGGGAAGGTTTTAAGGTTGTTTCAAGACTTACTTCTTTTTGCAGTGTTGTTGCCCTGCATTGTTTCCTCCATTAGTTCTTATGACACGCGTGGGGTGCGTAGGTGATGATACACTGTATTCTTAATCCGTTACCACACAGACAGCCATGCATCGCCACAAACGGACCGGCTCGACACGAGTGATATCACGGTCTCACAGAAAACTGGTGCTAAGCAATTATTTTGTTACTCTCCTAGTAAATAAGGATACGTCCTTAAGAGCGTACTTCTTATTTAAAGGCCGGCAACGCGTTTGTGACTCCTGAACTGCAGGCGTTTATGGGCGGCGGTAGTCGCTTTCCATCAGGTGACCCGTCTGCTCGTTTGCCCCATCTTCCATAAAAAAAACCCAAAACCTCCCCTGAGGCCTGGTTGAACCTGAAGGCGACAGCGCACCTTTGACTCTTGAGTTGCATTTGGCCATGGGCGGTGGTCATGGGTATATATATGTGTAGTGAGAACTGCGACGCGTATACGTTCTACGTTAAGCTAAAGTATATCAGTGGTTAATTTTCTTTGACTATTGCTGATAACATTAATACTGACTAGCGCTATGAAGGCAATTGAAAAATAAAAATATGTCGACTGCTCTTTTGCTGGCCAAAACGCGTCGCTAAGCTAAAAAGCTATATTTTCTATTCGTAGACTACAATGCAGACTAAGAAATTTCGCATTATTCTTACAAGTCGAAAAATATTAACAACACATATTATAACAACGCACGTTGCATATTGTGTGGGAATTTGGCCCGGTCTTCATGTCCGATCGTGCCTGGCGGGTCACCGCGGCAAACGGTTAACCATTTAGTGAGATGTTGTTTATATAACAATAATCGTGAGAACCTCCATAATGGTATTTCACAC